ATTAAACTAAAAACTAAAAATGTAGTGATATTAAATTAAACAAAAATCAATAATAAAAACGGTTTCAGTTCTGCTGCGACTTTCCTAATCATGTAACTGATTCAGATCTGATTATTTAAGATGCGTTCTATCTAAGCTGGTACTGAGAAAAACTAACAAGCTCTAGTAATTTCTCTTTTACCTTATTTAGTTAACCAAAACAAGCTCTTCAATTAACCCTAACTTTTTACTGTTCAATTAAACAAGCTCTTAATTAAATCAGAAAAATTGCATTAAGTTCTTTGTAAAATTCCCAGCAATACCTAATACTTCTCACAAGCTCGGAAGCGTAAATATATGATTTTTCAGTTTATACCAGAGTTAAATCCCAAAACAGAACCAATATGATACTTGTTACTTTTACCAGTTGACAAGAACAATTACGTATTCTATAACTGATTAACTGGAATGATAAAACCCTAGCTAGGTGATCAGACTAACAAGAATCAAAATCAAACATTTATTAAGCTCAAAACTGAAGAATCTAGATAGAAACACAAATCAAAAACTAGATCTAATGATCAATCACATGAAAAGTACTTCTCTTTGCAAAACTGAAAACTAAGGTTTTAGCCAGACATGGCTAAAATCTGATAAAAACAGATGAAAAGAGACATAAAACAACTAATCTTACTAATCTACTTGAAGGAGATGATCCACAGTCTTCAGATCTTCAGAAATTGTTGAAATCAGAGAAGAAACGCCTTCAAAATCGTATTTTCGTCGCCTGGTACCTCTGGAATCGCCAACTTCGGTTACTGGAAGGTTATCATGCTGTATTTATACGTCTAGCTGTCAAAACGACGTACCTGCGATCGCAAAGGGCATACCTGCGATCGCAAGTTCTGAAGAAAACGTGTCTCGGGCCTTTTTAATGAAGCAGGATACCATTTTGGCACTTTTTGGCCAACCTGCGATCGCATGTACACAACCTGCGATCGCACGTTTTCATTTTTCACTTCCGGATGAATTTTTGGCACAAAAGAACCTCGAAGACAACTTGCGACCTAACCTGCGATCGTAAAAGGGACCCACACGATCGTATGAAGGCAACCTGCGATCGCAGGTTATGCCTAAGACATCCGAAATTTCGTCTACTTTTCATATCATTTTGAATCACGTCAATCGGAGTTACAGTTCTCGAGATATGATCAAAATACTGACAGAGGGTCAAAGCTGCCAGCAACATCCTTTAACTTTAGATTGCCGATTCTATCTTCTTGTCATCAATTCAATCGAATGTTTCTTGACCAAATCATCTTTCAAGCATTCCTCATAATTCTTCATAAGTCCCAAGCTCCATTTTAAGCTCCAAACATGCGTCCAGCTGCTCCCAAATCACTGCTCCACTTAAACTATCTGAAATTGACATAAAAATATGAGCAGTACGGGAATTCTAACGAATTACTTGAGCTGAACATTATTTAAACAAATGACATGCAAATGTACAAAATATGATCCTAAATGCTAATGAAAACTACCCTATAAGATGCATAAAACAACATCTAACACACAACATCCCCCGATGATTTTTCGTATTTTTTATTACTATTTCATTCTGATGTTTTAGATACACTTTATCATGATTAATTTTGGAACAATTGATGTATGTATTGGTGGCTTAAAAAATCAAAAAAAAAAAAATTAGTATTTTTGGGACGGTACAAGAATTAATCATAATTAATTAGAAATTAATTTCGATTAATTAGAATTAATTAAAGGTACATGGGTTGAATTGAAATTATTCAATAGTTGAGCAAGGAAGGCAATTCGAAAACCTTCCTAGCTTGGATAGTTTTGGAGAGGTTCCAGAAGGGTTTTGGAAGCCTCTTGATAGCTGATAAGGATAATGACTTGAATAGATAGAATCTGGATATTTTGTTATTCTAATTAGGGTCTATCCTAGAGATATGCCAATTATAAATAAGAACCCTAACTCTTATAATTTTCGGATCTAACTATTCCAAAATAGAAATCCGAAAATCCTCATCTGTCCTCTCTCCAAATCGTTCCTAGGGTTCATAGGGTATTGGGTGTGAACCATTAGAGGCATCCACAATATTGGTGTTTGCTTTCCAATGAAGACTTGAAGATCAAAAGGGTTGTAATATCCGATTATTGCAAAGGTATGTGTTCTAATCTTTTAATTTTTTATTATACCCAAATTAGATCAAAGTTTTCATAGTATGTTGCTATAATGAGAAAAGTCATAGATCTCTAGGTTGCATGTGCCCATAAAATAGTTTTATGATTTCGTTGTGTGAATATATTGTTTTGTAATCTAGAAAACCCATCAATTTGAAGCTATTAAAATGATCTAATAAAGAAAACCTGTTAGAAACCAAGATAAAAACTCATTTTAATCCAAAAACTTTGTATTTAGTTCAACACATCAAACTGTAGGTTACGAGATGGATATATTGAGGAAGATAACTACCTTCACAAGTTATATTTTGATGGGGAATTGCTTGAATATTCACTAGATATCTATTTATGATTCATAACACCTTAAATCCTCCAACATTCCAGGACTTGAATAAATCTCCAACCCTAGAGTGATGATGGGGAAGGTGAAGTGAACTCATGCTTCTCTAATGGCTTCATAACAACCTTCTAGCTTCACCAATTCGATTCTTCTTCAAAATTCCTTTATATTTGGTCTTAAACACTAAAAACACCATTGATCTCTCTTTCCCCATTCTCTCCATGTTTGAAATGGTTTGTGGAAGAAGATAAATGACTAACTAGTTATTCTCTCTTCATATTTCTGCATTACTCCCTTCAACTTTTCTAGTTTTAACAATTATTACCCTAACAAGGATTTAATCAACTAGATTCTCATTATATTTCACATATGGTCCTTCCCACCACTTTTATGACATTTAAATCCTATGTACTTAGTTTGGTCAAACTCATCTTTTATCAAGTTGACATTTTTATCCCTTTTTCCAACCTTTCCATTTTAATCAATTTTCATTAATTAAATAAACTTTTTAACTAACATACTAACATTATTTATTATCTCCATTATTTTATTTATATTTAACTATTTTATTTATTTATCATTTTACCAAATTTTATTTTTCTACTAAAATTCGGCTAAAAGTACTAGGCCTTAAGGTGGATGTTACAACGTATCAGTAGGAAAAGTAAACATAGAGAGAATGACAGAGAGAATGCCACTACATTGGTAAATCACAAGCCGAAGAGATGTATTAGAAAATAAGTTATTAAGTAAGCCTTTAAATCACAAGAATTTGTACACCTTTTAGATCGAATGACTTAGTACTGGTACTCGAGCTTGTTCGGTTACAAGATATGAATCAAACCATCTCGGATAAAGCTTGTAGATTTAACAATTCTTAGTTGCATACTTTTAATACTAAAATCTTAGCTTATGACAAATTTAGAATGTATTAACATTGGTTTTATAATCGTAGTGAATACATGAGGTAGTAAGGTCTAGGCAGAGGAACAATTTACAAACGACACGCTAGTAGTTATGATGAATATGACAGAAAAGATGAGAATGTGCACTTGATGTTTTCAAAACCATGATGGAATCAATGCTCTCACGACAAGAAGAAATAATGCTCGGAGGACTCAAGCACGCAATAACACAACATAAGAAAGAAATCAAGACGTATGTGGAAAAATTTAAGATTACAATGAAGCAACATAAAGAAGAAACCAAAGAAACGGTAGGAAGGATGGAGCAACAAGAAGGTAAAAGGGGAGATGACTATAAGTGGGTGTATCCATGTAAAAACCAATAATAATAATAATAATAAAGAAATAAGGGTAAATTTGTTTTTTTTCTAAGGTCTTAGCGATGAATGATGATGATGATTGTAACAATTAAAAGTTTTAGAGACAAATAAATATACAAATGAAATGAAAAAAAAAAACCCTACATAACTACAGAGACAAAATTTGTAATTTACTCTGAGAATATACAAATATGAAAATACCGTTGGTGAATATTGCACCATTTTGTTAGGTTGCTCTTTATATTCATATAAACGATATAAGAATTGTCATGCAGTTGGAAAACAAAACACTAGTTTGTCAAACCCTTGAAAATCACTTTAGAATCCATGGTGTCATCTTATTATAGTTGAGCTTAATATACCGAATAATAACTAGATATTTTATATCATTTAACTCCTCCATTAAGCTACACATTGTGAGAACTCTTAGGATGCACGGAGTAATGCACTTTTTTTGTTTTTGAGTTGGAGGTACCGGGGTACTTGCATGATGAATGCCCCTCCGGTACCATTGATTCCCTCTCTTCAACGGGTTGAAGAACCTAATTTCATCTCTCTCTCTCTCTCCACAGGCTTAAGAACTTATACCCTATATTGTTTAATATATTTTTAATTGAACGGGTTGAATAGATTGGAAAAAATATTATTTTCATGTGTTGTAAGTTTAGAAAGATGAAATAAATATAAAAGAAAAAAACTGATATGAAATTGATGTGACAATAGGTTGGAAGACTTCTAAAAGTTTGTCGCCGCAATGGAAGCAAGGTTAGGTTAAAAACCGATTTAAGTATAAAGAGGGACTAATGGTATAATTTAAAATACAAAAACAATTTGTTTCCTTTTTGAATACAACTAAAAGCTGGATGGTTTAAAAAGCAAATGGAGGATCATTTTTTAAAGTATTTAATAACAGGGCTATATGAGGAATATGATATAAATACATTAATTAAAGAGAAAGAAACTCACAAAACAAAAAGTGCATAGACTAGAGATCTTTATATCACTTTCAGCGTCCCCTGTCCTTGATTTTAGAAGGCGGTTTTTAATTTATTAGTCATATCAATTACGAAGCGATAGAGACACACCATCTGATGCTGATCTTTATCTTATGCATATCCACTTTATAACTCCATGTTGGTCTTATTCTCTTTTTTCTTTTTATTTCCATCAAAACCTTTTCATTTTGCAACAGGGGTCATACATATTAAACAAAAACAAAAATGCAACATATTCATAATTCTTCATTTCAGGAGGGGCATTTTCGTCTTTCTTACTCAAACAACAACACCCATACAAATATAACCCACGGGCTGAAAACAACATACACTTTCTAACAGGAAATGACTAAAACAAGCCTTTTCTGGAGAAACAAAGCAAAGAAAAAAGAGGGGTATTTTTGGAATATGGCCTAATCAATAATAATTCATACCATGTTTGGCCTTTGTGGTAGCAAGAGATTGTAGAACTTATTGTGCAAGAAGAAATGTTTGCCCTTGCTGTCAACCGCTTTCTTCCATCCACACCAGCCACCATTCACTATTTTCTTTATATCATCACTTCCCGTGTAATGAGGATCAAGTATCAAAAATGCACAATCTCCACTTGCTTCATTATAATCCACTCCCAAAAGGGTATACGCAAGAACCCCGCCACCTGGCACATACGAATGCCATGTTGTAATTTTCACAAAGAAACAAATGAAATGTTATAATACACAAAGTATGTTGCTAGTATTTCTTGACTCACCTATCATGATGGGTGTTCCTTGGGTCTCAAAATGCATAGCTAGTTCTCTACATTTTTCGGGTAATTCGTCTCCAGATCTGACATTTATGACCTTGCAGCTTACCTGTTAAAAATATAATAATTTAATCACTACCGAAAATAGCAGAGTGGCTAAATCAGTTATAACTTACACCGAGTAATTTGTCCAAAACAAAGCTTAGTTCAATGGCACCAATCCAGTCACGTGACCCGATAAATGAAGCGTCTTTATCTCCAATTTCCACAAGTGACTCTTGTATTTCACTGAAAACAAAGCTTTTCTTATATTAATAACTTAAATAGAATATGATTATTTCAGCTTTGGTTAAAAAGATACAAGTAATACATACCGGTGTGAAGGAACATGAATAGCTGTGTATTGTTGGATTTTAAACCATGAAACTATGGTCTGTAAAGAGCGATAAGCACAACCCCACCCCTGGTATACTAATTTAAAAAAAAAATGATTAGAAAAAGAGATTCTTTTTTTTTTTTTTTGCTTTTCTGACAAAAGCTTGTAAATTATTCTCCAAATCTGAATGGTTGGTTTAAAAGAAGTAATTCACCGAGTCATCAAAGCCATCTTGAAGGTAATGATAGTACTCATAAGAGCCTTGAACCAGAGATACAACTCCACCATGAACTGCAACATAGCATTATATGTAAAATTACCTAATTACCCCTAACTTTCAAAACCCCACATCCATAAGGGTTTGTGAAACTACTTACCTCCACTACTTGGGATCCCAATGTGCACATCCTTAAGCAGAGGAGTTCCTGATTTAGCAACAATATGTTAGCAAGGTCCAGATGTTGTTTCTTTTTAACCTAACAAACTTAATAAGGACATGAGGCTTTCCACATTAAGTGTTTCTTTTTGACTTAAAAAAGAATATTATCACATAGGATATATATATATATATATATATATATATATATATATATATATATGTATACCTTTCCGCAAGATGTTGCCACTTGCACCTTCTTTTGCAGTCAACAAGTCAATGGCACTTGCAATTCTCAAAAGAGGACGATCTAAAGGTAATCCCAGCCTCATATGAAGACATTTTCTGATTTCAACTGAAGAGAAAAAGGCCATATGTCAAGTTTATACAAACAAACCCACCTCCATTTTATGTATTAAAAAAAACAAAAACCTTTTAAATCATTAATCATCAAGCAAATATTTTCTCTACCTTGCTTCATTTCTGTTTCGCCATAAAGTGAATCATAAATGGCAGTTATTGGATGCAGGAATCCTGGAGGAATGAAGTGATGTGGATGTAGCTATATAAAGCAATCAAGTTTGCAATAAGTAAGAAAGCAGGAAAAGTTTTAAAAAATGAAAAAAAATAATATTTTAAAGGTCATTTTTTAACCTTTGGGTGCTGAGATAATAGATTGGGTAAGGTCATGTTCTTCATAGTATGTAACTGGTCAACTAACCCAGGAATAATTAATTTTGAAATTGCATCCATCAGAAGAAGATCCTTTGTTGCATAACAGATAACTTTTACTTTATACTCAACAACCAGAAGCTTGGCTTCACCTACAACTCCCAAAAGAAACTTAACACTTTACTAATGAAGCAAAGATAATAAACTCTGTATTCTGTCCTGATGGCTGATATAAAAAATAATAAAAAAATCCAATCAATACCTGGAATATATTCAGCACAAGGGGCAGGAGGTTTTACAGAGGGTCCTGATGTAGCAAGAAACAAGCTTACTTGGATTTTATCTGCATTCTAAGTAAAGAAACTATCACAAAGATGAAAATCAAGAAATTAAATTGAAAAAATATGTGAAAGCAAATAACTGTATTTGATATGAAATTACCTCCACTGAAGGAGATTTGTGTTTCCTATCTTCAAAACAAAAGTGTGAGCACAATAAAGACTTTGTATTAGATTTTTGAGAGGTATCCTCAAGATCATAATCCCTGTTCTGAATAATTATAGGCTGTAATGCTTCAGTCATGGATTCATCGACTGTTTCTAGCACGTATGTAGTTTTAGGGTCTCTAAATTTGGCTGCAACAGCCTCAGTTGCACGCTTTAGCATGTTTTCTGCATCTGAATGAAAATTTGAGAATATTTCATGTTGCTTTTCTAAAAACAAACATGCATAAGAAAATGGCGTACCTTTTGGATCCTTTACAGAATAATACACTGGCAACTTGATTGGAAGTTCACAGTGCAGTATACAACCTCTCTCCCAAACATACTTCTCCGGATGATCTTCAAACACAATGGAAGTTACCGGTTCAACTACAGAGTTCGATACAAAAAACCGAATGTCTCCAGAGCTTGGATCCACTACAGCTCCAACTAAACTACGATTCTCCAACTGTGAAAGGGCCTTCCTCATTTTACCTGAGGCATCTATAGCATCCCGGGCAGACCCTTCCACATTTGGGTTGCTGGTACTAACAATCAGAGATCCGATTACCTCGAATCCCCTTGGTAACAATGCCCGCATATCATCTACACACGAATATTCCAACAAAAATCAATTTGAATTACGGATATGAGGGAGAAGTGTGTGATTCTTATGATAGTAATTGACGTTCCATTATATCTATCAATGATATTTCCGTGTATAGAGTTGGAATTTATCAAATTGGCGGTGAAGCTAGGGTTTTACCTGATTCTTTGGAAAAATCCGGGGATAGGGGATCGGAAGTAAGGGTGTTGATGCATCTGAAGGTTGAGACGATGGTGAACGTAGGAAGAAACGGGGAACCAATCAGCCATTGTATTCCTGATTCGGATTTTGTGATCAGCAGAAGTTTGCGACATAGAATCCGTATAGTGGTTTTGTTCTCGTTTGAATCATCGGCCATGGCGATATAGAGAACAACAGTTTCTGCAGGAATTTGACTATGTGGACTTTGCGTCCTGTCTATTCATTTATATTAGGGTTTTATCAACCTCACAGTAAACCAATGTTATTAAAAAATAATTAATTTTTATTTTCGTTTAACAAAATATTATCGTTATCTACTACTCTTCTAGCCATAGTTATATTACGCATTCATATCTCTAATCTCTAATCTCTATCTCTAATCTCTAATATCTAATAGTATATATTAAAACAGAAACTTTGTGACATCGCGTTAAACAATATGGGCTCTTGTTGTATTTCAATCTTATGTTTTTCACTCTTAGATTAAATTGCTGACATCATCTTCCCCAAATGAAATGTGACATCATGTTAAACAATATGGGCTTTTGTTGTATTTCAATCTTATGTTTTTCACTCTTAAATCAAATTGCTGACATCATCTTCCTCAAATGAAATGTATTTAATTCCAATAAAAACTTTCCAATTATCAGACAAAATTAACTTACATCCGTTAAAATTAAATGTATTTAACTTCAATAAAAACTTCCCATATTTTAAATCTTTAATTTCCGGTTATAAAGGTTTTAATATATATTAAAACAGAACCCTTATGACATTATCTTAAACAATTTGGGTCATAGTTGTATTTCGATCTTGTGTTTTCCACCCTTAGATCAAATTGCTAACATCATCGTCCCCAGATGGAATGTATTTAATTCCAATAAAAGTTTTCCAATTGTCAAACAAAATTAACTTACATCCGTTGAAATTGAATGTATTTAATTTCAATAAAAGTTTCCCATATTTTAAATATTGAATTTCCGGTTATAAATGTTTTAATACGGTCAATTTTAAAACCATATTACTAAAAATCATTTTAATTAAGACATTAAATATCAATCATTAATATAAATTCGTTTATATTAGTAAACCATTAATATAAAATCTATTTTTATTAGGAAACCATTAATACCAAAAAATCAGATTCAAATTATCACATACATATACGATTCATCATTGAATCTACGGCTCACACTTAGGCCCCGTTTGATAGTTGCCGACTGAGAAAGTGCTGATTGAGAAATGTCTGTCTAAGTAAGAAATTTTGACTGAGTAAGAAATTTTGACTGAGTAAGAAATCATGTTGTTTGATTGAACACAAAAAGCCCTTCAACTTGCTGGTAAACACCATTGCTTCTACAATGGAGACCCAAGTTCTATTCTCGTAACCTTCCTTAGCTGCGAATTTTTATCCAAGCCAATGGTACTATTGGAAAGCCTTGCTTTCTTTCTCAGTTAGCCGTCTCCCAACTTCTTTCTCGGTCAGACCTTGCTTTCCGAGTCAGATGCCAAGATTTTGTTTATCAAACACCTTTCGTCTGACCGAGTTAGACAAAAATGTCTGACCTGACTCGGTCAGATGCATATCAAACAGGCCTTATTTTCAATCGTTGTCTTTTTTCAAACATTCTCCTACAACATCATTATTATTGCTTATAACTACCATCATCATTCTTTACTTCAAACCTTCGATGTTGTATACTAGATGGTCAGTACCTTCTTTTGCTTTTTATATTTTTTTCGATTATTTTTTTGTTCCTGTATCAAATATATGTATTCATATATTTCGATTTTCTTTGTCACAAATTACATGAAATCAGTTAACTACTTTTCTAAAACTTCAAATAAATAGGAAAATATATTACGTACCTTTAATCTGGAAAAAATAATAATGTACTTTGATGGAAACCGGTTAAAACACATTATAACAAAGTACTTTGATGGAATGACAAATACACCCCTACCCATTTTCGTGTTCATGGTAATCATTCTTTTGTGTATTCGTTTAACATGATACTTCCATTTTTTATCTGAAGGGTAAATCATTAATTTAGTATGTACAATGTTCATCAGACGGCTAAATCAGTAATTTAATTTAAACATGGATCAAATTGTGAGTTGCTACTATTTCTGTTTGTTTTGATATCTCAACTTGGTTACTATTTTTGATTATATGTAATATCTTAAATTGTTGACTGAATTACAGGGATTGCAATCTTGATATAGAACTCAAATAATTTGTTAAGATAAATATATGGTAATACCGAATGAAAAATGGAGGATAAGGGTATAATATGAATAAAGAAATATTTTTTTAGTGTTTGAATATAAATTAATATCCTAATATGATGGTTGAATTACAAAATATATAACTTTAAATTCAAATCATAACTAAAGGATATTGATATTGTTGGATGATTTTTTTAATGTTAAGTATGAGTTTAAGGTTTAGGGGCAGAAAGGTAACTTTATTTGGGATAGAATAAAGAAGAAAGATTCGAATTTACCTTTTGAAGGTGTGACAACCCGAAACATCTACCTTGTACATCTAGTCAATTTTAATCAATGTTAAACTCGTTTCTGTTAACTTCTAGCACTGTTTAAGGGTTCATTTAAGCGTTCTAAGCTTGAGTACAACCAAGGTCGAGATTAGGAATGAGTCAGCAAGTCGTATAGTGACAGAATCAGGCCATACACCCCTTTTGGAGGAGTGTGCGGCCACACACATGGGTGTACGACCGTACACACCCCTCAGTACCACACCCACACACCCCTATATAAAGGGTAGACCCCTTTCCTTTCATTCCTTTCACTCCTTGGCCGCACACTACTTCTTCTCTCTCAAGTTCTTCAACCGTGAACCCTCCAAAGCTTCAAGAACGTGAGTAATTCATCCTCTAACTTGATATCCTTGAAAGACCACTCTATCTAAGCCTTGAGACTGCAATATTCGTCATGTTCTTCATGTTTAGAAGAGAGTGCGGCCGCACACCCCCATAAGATGGCCGCACACTCCTAAAAGACCCTCTAAAGTGAGAGTTTGACCCCCATCTTCAAGTTGGACATCACCCTAGCCTTATTGCATCTTAAAGTCGACCTTTTGGGCATAAACATGAAGGGTGTACGGCCGCACACACACCCTAGGACCGCAAACCCACTTCCATGGCCCTTATTGACCTCAAACTTGCACCACAACTAAGCATGGACCTAGAACACTTCATGGATGCTAGTGTGAACCTTGAAAACACCTCAAAGACACCTACCATCATGAGTGTACGGCCGCACACCTCATGGGCCGCACACCCATGGCCGCACACACACATTGGGTGGCCATACACCTCCCTCACTCCATACCATAAGGTTCCAACACTTAGTGCAAGTGGTTCCAAGTCCCTAGAGTGGTTTCGTATCATATCTAGTAGTGAAATACCTTCATTTGACTCCTATATGTGTTATTACATGTTGAATAGGATCTAGTTGTGTTCGAGGTTTCATTAGATACTCAGCATCTCATACCGACCTTTCATTCAAGCCATCCACTCGAGGTGAGTTCATACCCCTACGCTTTTCCGAGATTTTCATGTTTTCAGGGGGAATACAAGCAATAGCACAAGCAATCTTGTGCTCAAAATATATTATTCTGTCTAAGATAAATATATTTTAAATATACTTCGAATATGGAAATCAGTTTTACTAAATGGGTTAAGAAACCAACTTGCAAAAGTAGTTTTCAAAACTAAGGATAACGAATTTATGAATCATGAAGTAAAAGATATCATTTTATAAAAGATTCATGTTAATTACAAAAAGGGTTTTCTGTTGGATATAGTGTCTAAGTCCATAACTTTATTTGGTATGTACTTGACCCGACCTGGCATGGTCCATTTGGGTTGCATGGCATTGCAATACTTGGATAGACTAAATGAGAGAAATGACACTTGTGATTATTAATATATTATAAGTTCTAATATATTAATAATAGTATTATTTAATTAGTATTGATCAAGTATTAATTTAGAATTAATTTGGTGATCAAAATGAGACTAATTAAATACATAGGGTTGATTATGACAATCATCTAATCTTTTATGGTGGATTCATGATCCATGGTTTATTGTGATTTGGAGCTCCATGGATATGGGAGTTACAAACCCATGGATCATTAGAAATCAAGAGTCATGACGATTAAGGGCATTCATGTGTAAACCCTAATTGTGACAACACTATAAAAGGAACCCTATAGCTAGCAAAATCGGTCACTAGTTGATTCTAAGAGGGCATAACCGATTTTGAGTGTTAGTGACATTCTCTCAAGTTATTCCAAGTCTTGTGGTGTTGTGTGAAGCATTTGAGGCACAACATTTGGGGTGCTAGGCTCACAAAGTCTTCAAGGAATCCAAGCAACAAGAAAGGTATGTACTTATACTAGTTTTTATATTACATATTCCCCATGCCATGCTTGTTAGGAAGTAAACCTTGAAAAACAAATTTGCATGTATATTAGAGAAAACATAGATTCAAGGTTTATAGGGTTGCATGTACACCATAGGAGTGTTAGAATGCTCAAAACCCATCAGTGGTATCAGAGCATAGGATTGTTTTCTGTATATTTGATGCATACTGCTTGAAAAAATCGAAAAACTGTTCACTGTTCGACTGGACTCGCCGAGTGCAAGGGGAAAACTCGACGAGTCCAAGAAAAAATTCATCCTACTCGTCGAGTAGGATCATGCACTCGACGAGTAGGTGCGTGCTGGGCAGTTTTCCGAGTTTTGTTGCTGGAAATGGGCTAGAATCATTATCCCAAACTGTTTTGGACTTGTAAAATCTGTTTTTAAAAGTGGTAATGATTATGTTAACCCATTTCAAATGACTATTATCAATTTTCAAGTTTTATATGTGATTTCTTGAAATTGCTTGATATGAATATTTGTTCTTATGAGTTTTAGAAGATCATAGGAATTGTGTGTAACTTACATGCTAGATTAATTCATGATCTTAATGCTTATGATGGTGTTCATAACTTGTCCTCAAGTTATGGATAACCAAAAGTCACTTCTTTAAAAGTTGTCATTAAAGAATAGTAGGTTTCATAAAATGAAGAGTCTTCAACTTTATGAACCATTAAAACTCATAAGTTACAAATTTGAAGAGTCTTGAAATAGTTTCAAAACTTGCCCTCAAGTTTTGGAATTTGTAAA